CTCTGTTACTTGTCTCTGAGCACGGGATAGTGGGTCTGTTACTTGTCTCTGAGCACGGGACAGTGGCTCTGTTACTTGTCTCTGAGCACGGGATAGTGGCTCTGTTACTTGTCTCTGAGCACGGGATAGTGGGTCTGTTACTTGTCTCTGAGCACGGGATAGTGGGTCTGTTTCTTGTCTCTGAGCACGGGACAGTGGCTCTGTTACTTGTCTCTGAGCACGGGATAGTGTGTCTGTTACTTGTCTCTGAGCACGGGACAGTGGCTCTGTTACTTGTCTCTGAGCACGGGATAGTGGCTCTGTTACTTGTCTCTGAGCACGGGATAGTGGGTCTGTTACTTGTCCCTGAGCAGGGTGTAGTGGCTCTGTTACTTGTCTCTGAGCACGGGATAGTGGGTCTGTTACTTGTCTCTGAGCACGGGACAGTGGCTCTGTTACTTGTCTCTGAGCACGGGATAGTGTGTCTGTTACTTGTCTCTGAGCACGGGACAGTGGCTCTGTTACTTGTCTCTGAGCACGGGATAGTGGGTCTGTTACTTGTCTCTGAGCATGGGATAGTGGGTCTGTTACTTGTCTCTGAGCACGGGACAGTGGCTCTGTTACTTGTCTCTGAGCACGGGATAGTGTGTCTGTTACTTGTCCCTGAGCAGGGTGTAGTGGCTCTGTTACTTGTCTCTGAGCACGGGATAGTGGGTCTGTTACTTGTCTCTGAGCAGGGTGTAGTGGCTCTGTTACTTGTCTCTGAGCACGGGATAGTGGATCAGTTACTTGTCTATAAAGCAAGAATACCACAGAAAGCAATTATCTTGGTACTTTTCACTTTAAGATATGACAAAAAAAAATCCTTAAAATGTGAATGACTGGAGATAGAGATTAAAGACACTTGTATATGTGGCCCAGCTATGCAAGTCAATATCTGTACGTCAAGCAGACTTCTGTATTAGCAAGCACCTTAACGAGCAAACAGTGTCCAAGTGGGTAGTCAGGACCACCCTCCCCCCAGTCCCCGTACCTTTGGTCAAAATATTTTAAAGTTGTTATGTAGGACGTGTTTACGTCACGTTTCCCCCGTGCTGCCAATCTAGCAGACGCCGCGTTCATATTGTGTAATTGTGTCAGCCATATTGCAGGACTGTGGATTTTAGCGAGTGTGGTTTGGATTGTGTATAATACAGTTGGATATATTGGACAGTAGCACTGTTACAGACAATAGTTATTGGACAGTAGCACTGTTACAGACAATAGTTATTGGACAGTAGCATTGTTACAGACAATAGTTATTGGACAGTAGCATTGTTACAGACAATAGTTATTGGACAGTGGCACTGTTACAGACAATAGTTATTGGACAGTAGCATTGTTACAGACAATAGTTATTGGACAGTAGCATTGTTACAGACAATAGTTATTGGACAGTAGCATTGTTACAGACAATAGTTATTGGACAGTGGCACTGTTACAGACAATAGTTATTGGACAGTAGCATTGTTACAGACAATAGTTATCGGACAGTGGCACTGTTACAGACAATAGTTATTGGACAGTAGCATTGTTACAGACAATAGTTATTGGACAGTGGCACTGTTACAGACAATAGTTATTGGATAGTAGCATTGTTACAGACAATAGTTATTGGACAGTAGCACTGTTACAGACAATAGTTATTGGACAGTGGCACTGTTACAGACAATAGTTATTGGACAGTAGCATTGTTACAGACAATAGTTATTGGACAGTGGCACTGTTACAGACAATAGTTATTGGACAGTAGCACTGTTACAGACAATAGTTATTGGACAGTGGCACTGTTACAGACAAAAATTATTGGACAGTAGCATTGTTACAGACAATAGTTATTGGATAGTAGCATTGTTACAGACAATAGTTATTGGACAGTGGCACTGTTACAGACAATAGTTATTGGACAGTAGCACTGTTACAGACAATAGTTATCGGACAGTAGCACTGTTACAGACAATAGTTATCGGACAGTAGCACTGTTACAGACAATAGTTATTGGACAGTGGCACTGTTACAGACAAAAATTATTGGACAGTAGCATTGTTACAGACAATAGTTATTGGATAGTAGCATTGTTACAGACAATAGTTATTGGACAGTGGCACTGTTACAGACAATAGTTATTGGACAGTAGCACTGTTACAGACAATAGTTATCGGACAGTAGCACTGTTACAGACAATAGTTATCGGACAATAGCACTGTTACAGACAATAGTTATTGGACAGTAGCACTGTTACAGACAATAGTTATCGGACAGTGTGTTGCCGTCAGATTCATCTGGTTAAGAGCCACTTGACTTGTGTTCGATCAGGGCTATACCAGGAGATCTGTGTCATAGCTTGGTTATGTATTCAATATTGACCATTGATTTCGTGTTCTTGGTCCATCAAATTAGTAAACCTGTCTGATTAAATTTAACCTTGAGCCTAATATGTACATTCTGAAGTTGACTCTAAAAAAATGTATTTATGCAATGAAACTAATATATTTTGGTAGTTTTTAAAACGTGAATTAATATCTTATAACAATCAATAATTATTACACATTTGTTCTTAATTTTAAATAATCTTTTTATGCCTCTTCAGCGTGAAAGAAAATTGTATTTGTACAGGTCATAATGATCTCCAAGTTTAGTGCTCAAAGACATGGGGCACTCCACAAACAATGAAATTAGGAAATTCTTAGAGAAAGCCTACAAGTTCTCTAGTTGCCATCAGCAATACACAAAACAACACACACACGAATTTTTTGTTACAATCCCAACAAATGATCTCCGGGTATTTCCAATAATCAAATCATTGAAACCCAATCTGCGTCACTCTCACAGTTAAAAGATCTTTATTATGTTACTGGGATTCTGGGCTCTCCAAATAGCATTACTATGTGCCGAGTAAAAATTTGCTATGAATAGAATGCTTTTTTTAAAAACATTCCTGACGTCCATAGACCTTACCAGCAAGACAGCTGAATGGAAATCCAATTACCACTTATTTATGTTATTGTAGATTTATTGCTCAAGATACAATGTCAATTTTTGTCCATTAGATAATCTAACGTCTAATCAACGGAACGTGTCTAAAATATCGGTTATTCTGTGAAGACAGCACAAAGGTAGCACAAAGACAGCACAAAGGTAGCACAAAGACAATACAAAGGCAACAAAAAGGTAGCACAATGACAGCAAAAAAGGTAGCAAAAAGGCAGCATAAAGATAGCACAAATGCAGCACAAAGATAGCGCAAAAGAAGCACTACGAAACAAATGTGTTAAATTTTCTAGCTCCCAGGGGTCGGCAATGCAAGGATAAAACATTCACCAATATAAGAAATCACGATGCTAAAAATATGGCCTGGTACCTGTCACTAGAGCAATGCTTTTAATTCAGAGCTGTCAGCCAAACTAAAAAGCTTGAGAAGCACTGATCTAGAAGATAATAAAACCGATAGAAACAAAATTAAGAATATTTTAACACAGAGGTTCCCAAAATCTGGGCAATGAGGAGTGGCGACTCCTTCAAAGAGGCACACCGAAGTGAAAAAAAATACATTACTTATTTGTCCAAACACTGTAATCTTCTACTTATGCAAAGACTTTAAAAAAAACTTTTACTCTGATGTTTAATACATTAGCAGGGCACACGTTTTTATTTCACCTAAAACACGAACTTATCAATTAAAGCATGTTGCTAGACAGAGACGTATAGCAGTAACAAGAAAATTGCATATAAGCACATTGGTTTTTGTTGGAAGCGGAAATTACTACTTATGTAAATCTGCCAAAAGATCAAATACACGATTCACTTCAAATTACCGTATTGAGCTATCTATTTAACCGAACCGAAGAAAAACTCAGCAGAACGTTAATATATATATTAACCCTCTCCATGGACAAACATGTCACGAATATATGCAGATCAGCATATAACGAAATTAGAAAAATCAGCACCATTAGACACCTCCTCTCCTTTGATGCCACAAAAACTCTCGTCTCTTCACTCATTCTTTCAAAATTTGACTACTGTAACATTCTTCTCTCAGGCATTCCTCAACACCACATAGAAAAACTTCAGAAGGCACAGAACTCAGCATGCAGACTCATTTTTAAATCAAAGAAACATGACCACATTCAACCACATATGCGGCAACTCCACTGGCTTCCAATATCCTCTCGCATCAAATACAAGTCTGCCAATCTTTGCTTCAACTCGTTCACTGACCCTCACTTTCCTGTCTATCTCTCTGAACTGTTGCTTCCTTACATCCCCACAAGACAACTACGTTCTTCCATTGACAGTAGAACCCTCTCAATCCCAAGAACTAAAACTAAGACCATCGGTGAACGCTCCTTCTGCTTCCATGGGCCCACGTTCTGGAACCAGCTCCCCTTCCATATACGTCATAGTGAAACCTCGTCCATTTTCAAAAAGTCCCTTAAAACTCATCTGTTTAGGTCCGCCTATGACCTGTGATGCACCCTCGTTGCCCTACCTAATTTTCTGTTTCGGTTTAATCCTGAAGTGTCAAAGTGTCCTCTTTTTATAGCCATTTTCATTGTTTCTATAGAATAGTAGTTACTATCCTAGTGTCTCATTTGTATTTACTTAGTTTACATGTTTTAATAATTGTAAAGCGCTTAGAGCTTTATGATAAGCGCTATATAAAAATGCCTAAATAAATATATAAATATATATATATATATACTTGCGAATCGAAGCGTTTATCTGTCTAACCTAACAAAAATATCCAAGATTTTACCTGAATCATAAGTACTGAAATAGCAAAGGAATTGTCTTTTGTTGTTGTTTTTTTTAAATTGTGCAAATCAAAAAGTCAAAAGTGAGACTCATTGACAGTACAAAATAGTCAAACTTTAAAAAAAAATAATTCCTTGACTTGTTATCAAAATCTTGAAAATTTCTGTATGAAGTAAAAAAAATATATTAACGTAATTTTAAAAAAAATGCCACACTTTTGCAATAAGGGTGATATTAATTTTGTTTTATTTTTCTTCTTATATAAATATGTCGTTAAAACCATAAAATATGTAATCGTAATCAATTTCAATTTTAAAAATAAATATGTTTTAAGGCGTAAAATTGGGTTTTAATTATATGCCTGGTATAGGAACTTCGCATAGAAATCCACCAGCGTACTCTAATGTATTCCTATGTGAAGAGCATGCCCAATCATTGATGTCAAAACCCAACTCTTGCCAAAAAAACAGGCAGTTTTCATCAGTTCCACCATTCGGTTCCCCGTGACCCCATTTGATATACCTCGCAGGCGTATTGCTGTAGCCGTTCAACCAGTTCCCCCCAAGGGCCTCGTCCGTCGCTCCGGTCAGCACATATTTATACCCCGGTGACTGACTCAAGAAAGCTTTGATGAAATCGTGCTCGACGGCGCTGTCCACTTCCACCAGGTAGCCACCGATCAGCCTGCAGACGGCGTCGGCCTCCTTGCGGATGAGGAAGAACGAAGGAGGAGATAAGTAGTAGCGAGCTCCATCGAACAAGGGCGAGACTTTGAAGTATGTGTCCCTGGCGCTTTCCAGCCTGTTGATGATATTCTGTAGCTTCATTTCAGCGGTTTCGCGTTTCTGGTTATGTAGTGTCTTTGACACCGCACTGACGACTGGATCATCCACGTCTGCTGGTTGCCTCGCATTGCCCCAAATGTAATTTGGCACTGTGTCTGGGTTGAAACCAACCCAAGGACCTAATTAAGAAATGATGATACTGAGATTAGATGTTACATTTTTTTTAAAATGGTCTTTTCAAATCTACAATAAATTTGCTATTCCACTTTTTGAAACATTTTTATTTTAAAATCAATAGAAATTAATTTAAAACAAGAAATCAATATTAAGTTGTTTTCAAGATACGTTGAAATATACAACATTCGACACGCAACACATAACATACATACTTGCATTTATTACTACACTTAGTGCAGACAACAGAATGGAAGACCATCGCATTTTCCAGACGTACCTTGAACGTGATTAGCCCTTGCTGGGCCGGGGTCAGGGCATTTAAACTGTTCACCGCCGGCAACAGATGTCAAACACAGGGTGCCGCCTGCAGGAATCTGGTGTCTTATGTTATTTTGACATGCTGACAACGCCTCTAAGATACACAAGGGCACTAACTGCTTGCACACAACGACCAACTTTACCACACGAACCTATTTATTGATCATCTATTTTTAAAAATAAACGTTATGGATATTTTTTCGATAAAGCAGAACAGCATTTAAAGTCAAGTATGGGGTATTTGACATAAAAGAGACAAGCATATCTTATGTAAGCGTCTCTCAATAATACGAATATTAGTTCATGCATGGGAATGAAATTGTGTTCTAATTTATTTTTAAAAAAAATGCGAAGTTAACTTAAATACAATTTCACGATGGCGGTAGAAGCACGCCCCTAACAGCTGTTCCCGTATGCCTCTTACACGGAAAAGCCTCTTTGTCCATCAGCTTTCCCCATCTGCCTTGTACACAGAAAAGCCTCTTTTTCAATATGTTGTCTCCGTCTGCCTCTTACACAGAAAAGTCACTTTGTCAATCTGCCATCCCTGTCTGCCTCTTACACAGAAAAGTCACTTTGTCAATCTGTTTTCCCCATCTGCCTCTTACACAGAAAAGCCACTTTTTCAATTTGTTTTCCCAGTTTGCCTCTTACACAGAAAAGCCACTTTGTCAATCTGTTTTCCCTGTCTGCCTCTTACACAGAAAAGTCACTTTGTCAATCTGTTTTCCCCATCTGCCTCTTACACAGAAAAGTCACTTTGTCAATCTGCCTTCCCTGTCTGCCTCTTACACAGAAAAGTCACTTTGTCAATCTGCCTTCCCTGTCTGCCTCTTACACAGAAAAGCCACTTTTTCAATTTGTTTTCCCAGTTTGCCTATTACACAGAAAAGTCACTTTGTCAATCTGTTTTCCCCATCTGCCTCTTACACAGAAAAGCCACTTTGTCAATCTGTTTTCCCCATCTGCCTCTTACACAGAAAAGTCACTTTGTCAATCTGTTTTCCCCATCTGCCTCTTACACAGAAAAGTCACTTTGTCAATCTGCCTTCCCTGTCTGCCTCTTACACAGAAAAGTCACTTTGTCAATCTGTTTTCCCCATCTGCCTCTTACACAGAAAAGCCACTTTTTCAATCTGTTTTCCCAGTTTGTCTCTTACACGGAAAAGCCTCTTTGTGAATCTGCCAAAACAAAATTCACCTCTACAACTAAATTATGAAACAATTAGAGACCGACCGAATTTGTTTTTCTCTTTTCGAATTCTACTTTTGCCGATTAATTAATTATTACAATTTTTTTTCCTAAAAATTATAAACAGAAAAAAGAAATTTTTAGAAAAACTTTATATAAAATACTTTCCATCAAAGACGAGTTAAAACGCACCAAAAAGTAAAATCAAAACTTAAAATTTGTAAATATGCATTACGTAAAAATAATTTTTTTTTTTAATAAATAAAAAATCTAACATTTAATATTTGTCTCCATTTAATTCAAATCCTTTGTCTTCATAAAACTTTTGTGTCCACTGCTGTACAAATTTTCTTTGAATCATGCATTTAAATAAATTTAAAATATTTTATTTCTTTTTTTTTTAGTAAGTTTAAACTCATCTGTGATAGAAAATCTTTTTTTTTTAAATATATTTAAATAGCCTTTTCAAGAATCTTGAAATTTACCAACACCTACAACAAAAATAACGAAAATAACAACAACATATACCAAATAAAAATTGTTTGTTAAAATTCATTTCTTCCATTCTCCTGGTATGTCATACAATGAAATCGTTGAAACTAAAGCTGAGACAAACACATCTCAATATTGTTACTAGTGTTGTGCGGCCAACAAATTGTATTGTCGTGAATTAATTTAAAATGTGATATAACTTGAAAGACATTATTTCTCATCCCCTGACAACAGTAAACATTATCACCAACAGTTGAGACTAAATTTGAGATGTGTTATTTAGTTTGCAATATATTTATTTTGTCTTTCCAAAACGTTTTCAAATTCGAAGAAAATTAACTTACTAAGTGGTAATGTCTATTAATTATAGATTAACTACCAAATTAATTTTACCACAATGTATCATGAATAATTAAATCCGGTGCCGAAGTCATTGTGTTCATGAAATATAATGGCGTGAAATGACGTAAAGATTTAAGACTCTAATAAAATTCCATTAAAAATTTAGTTTTAAGTTTTGGCCTGTCTATGGCGATCAACAAAGGAAGATGGGAAAATATTTCAATCCCATGTAGAATTCTTAACATCAAGTAGTTCGTCGAAATTTACAACAAAAAAAAAAATAATAAAATAAAAACTGCAGTTGGGAAGATGCCAGGACAAATCGCAGTGGACCAAGAAATCCGGAAGAGAAGGTAGAGATGGATATGTTATAGAGTACGTCAACCAATTGAAACTATACGTTGTTAGGCACTGGTATGAAACCCCAGGGGTCAAGAGAACGGGAAATATTCTCATCCCCAAAGTAAGCAAAGAGGTATTTGAGGATGTATCTGGAAAGAGTTCGAGAAGATAGCAAGAGACGGTAATGCGTTGAAGGAACTTTTTAGCGGCCCAAACTCCAATGATAGAGAATAAAGTCAGAGAAGAAGGAGTAGAAGAAAAGGTTCCATATTCTATGCCGTTTCCCTGTTGCATTCCAATGGATGCCACAAGAAATGTCCCTTCATCTTTGTAATAAACACACAAAAATATGACTTAATCATTGCAATAACCACCACAGCAAATGTCACTTCTTTGAAAAAACCATAGCAAATGTCACTTCATCTTTGCAATAACCACAGCAAATGTCACTTCATCATAGCAACAAAAAAAAACAACAACACAGCACCACAGCAAACTTCACTTCATCTATTTGAAATCGTTAACTTATTTCAACGGTATCTCGTTCCGGTACTGAAGTGACTTTGAAACTCCACTGATGACTGGTTTAGACACTTCTACTGGTTTCTTCTTATAACCACACCACTGTCACATCATCATTGTAACAGACCCAAGGACCTAATTACGAAATAGTGATACTAAGCTAAAAGTAGATCTCTTTCAGCCATCTTTATTATTTAAATTCAGTTGTTTTTTTTTTTAAATATTAATTAAAAAAAAAAAAAATTATCAGAATTTAAAAGTTCTTTGAAAGCATAAGAACGTATGATCAAGTTGGTTTCAAGATACGTTGCAGCATACACACTTGCTTTTAGTACAACACTTAGTACAGACAAACGAGGCAAAGAGCACCGCATTTTTCACGCGCACTTTGAACGTTATAAGCTCTCACTGGGCCCGGGGGTCAGGGCATTTAAACGTTTGACGGCAACAGATGTCAAACACGGGGTGTCGCTTGCAGGGATCTGGTGGGTTTTTTTTTTTTTTTGTGTTGCTATTTTCACAACGCCTGTAAGATATTCGTGGATGTTATTTGCTTTCACCCACTTTCAAATTGCTTTTTGCCAACGTCCAGATAGCTTTACTACCAGCAACGATTTATGACATATATATTTAAAAAAAAAACGAAAGATATGTATCATATTCTGATAAAGGGGACCAACATTTAGACTCTGCTATGGTTGAAATGTACACATTGCCCAGATTTTTTTAATGTTAACGTTACTCAATAATATGAATAGTTTGTTCATGCTTGCAAATGAAAAAGTTTTCCCTTTTTAAAGGAGGTCTAAAAGTCATATTATAAATAGTGCCATAAAAGAGAAATAAACACGCCCCGAATAGATTTTCCCCGTCTGACTCCTATACAGGAAAGCCTTTCCCTTTATGTCAAAACCAACACACACAAAAAAAGAGTCACCTCTGTAACTAATTTATGAAACAACCAACAGCACTAAATTCGATAAATGCGTAGAAGAAATTTGGGTCATGCGATGAAGTCCTGATTAATTATATCGCCATTAAATAAACAATTTGTAGAAAATGATTGTTCAACCAAAAAAAAACAAAAAAAACAAAAAAAAAAGCAACTAAAGTATGGTTCTGTTCTGTTCGGGTAGTGTTCGTTGCTACACCCATATACTGGTATCTGTGCAACGGTTGGAGAAGCGATATTGCTAATCTAACAGCTCCTAGCAGATGCCAGGGCAGCCTTGAAGCTTTCGACCGATGTCGAGTTCACAGCGGCATTGTCCAGGTGGTTCCAAGCAATTATTGTGCGTGGGAAGAATGATTGTTTATACTTCACTGTGTTACACCGAGGCACGATGAAGCATTTGCTATTGCTTCGGGTGTAATTGTTTATGGGAATATCAGTGGTGAAGTCAGAGTTCTGCGAGCGTTTGGCTCTGATCAATCGACCCGTCTTCTATTGGGTGAGGTACGTGCCTACTGAGATGGCCGGCACCAGCCCCATGACCACTTTATATAAGAATATCAGGCGGAGCCCCTCTCGTCTGTCTTTAAGGGAGGGGATGTCAAATCTTTTCAAGAGGCCAATGACGAAGCCAGGAGTGGTGGATTTGTAGTATCTTGCGATGGAAAGCACCGCATTACGTTGAATTCGCTCCATCTTGTCCACGTCTTGCTTTAGGTGTTGGTCCCAGATGATCGCACCATATCCTAGTAGTGGATGGACGAGTGCATGGTAGATATAAAAAGGAGTTTTTATTTGTTCTTTTGAACCCGCATTTCTTTGCATCATGTTTCTTTATTTCCTCTTGACTATTTCATCGAACACTCCTTTGCCAGTATTTCTCCCTGGGATATACGCAACAGTTTTAAGGGGGGTGGAGTGGAATATTAACCATTTGAACATGCTCTTCTCTCCAACACTACCCAGTGACAATTTTGCGAGTTTTGTATATTCCTTATGAGATACGTGTGGCTTAAAACGAGGTTTTGAGTCCATGTGAGGACATTTGTGCTGAAAATTGTAACTTTAGTTTGCAGAGTCAGCTTCTTTGATTCCCATATTTCCTTTAACAGCATATATGCTGACTTA